TCATGATGGGCATCAATCATCTCTATCATCATAATCAATCATTAYTTTATCATCATTATCATCATCATCATCATCCATCATCATCTTAATCAGTATCACCTTGACATCCCCATCCTCTCCATCATCATGATGGGCATCAGCCATCTCTATCATCATAATCAATCACTGCTTTATCATCATCATCATCATCATCATCATTATAGTTAATCTTTAACCTTTCATCGAATGTTAATCATTAGTAAACTTCAGATTGAAATAAGAGTTTACATCTTTTCAATTACAACACATGCACTAGAACGTGACAACATCCTGCCACCTTCAACAAAAATTTTTCTTTGTCTCTACGTATGCAAATGAGATTTTTGCAAAAAGTCATCATCAAAAGTACAAGGAAAAGGAAAAGTCCAAACTTGTACTCTTGTACTCATAGTCGTTCTTCGATCTGAAGCTCACTATYATTATATTGCCATTTCATTTTCCTCTTTTCCTCTTTCCTCTCTTTTTCCTCTTTCATTATCATTATCATTTCCCTCTGTCATAATCAACATCAGGATATATTACCTTGTAAATCAACCCCTTCATCAACATCCTGTTCAGATGGTATGACAGCTTCCTCTCCACCTTCCTTTGTCTTGTCAGTTTTTTCTTCCACTGCTTGATGTATACGAGGATCTGTTTCCGTTGTCGATTCTTCATTTTTGGAGTTAGAATCAGTAGCTTCCTCGTCAGTGTGCTTGTCCACTTGTGTTAAAGTACCTGCTTCTGAAGCACCGTCCTCAATTGGTGAACTGTCAGGTTTATTGCTTTCGGATTCACTTTCTTCTCTTGTTTTATGTTCATCAGATACAACTGACCCTGGTGGGGTGRGGGTAGTTTTTGTCCTGTCACTGTCGTCTGTTGTTGATATGCTACTACTTTCATTCTCTTTCATCATTTCCTCCTCTTCTTCTTCAATTGCCTGAATGAAACAGAAAATAAAACAAATTAATGAAAAGGAAAAACTGAAAAAAAGTTTTGTACAAAGACAACAAAGAAAATACTTCAAAATCCCAAAGATCTAAGAAGAAACTTATATCTGAGAAATTTCCCTGTAAATTAAAACTGCTGTTAAAATATTTTTTAAAATAATTAATAGTTCTTCCGATTTTTGTAAATTGTATATGTAGCCCTTCCTTAATATTAGAATGTAAAATAAAATTGTGAAAAAAAGATCTGGTAAGATCTTTATACATTATGTTCTACAGTTTTTAAAACTCAAATGCATATTTTCCTATATTGGTATGACTGTTAGCAAAGATGTCTAACATTGTGGTTGAACACATAATTAGAAGATCTGTTATCATAAAAGTGTTATTACCTAGTCTAAGTTTTCTTAGGAAGGTCATCACAAAAAGTAATTTTTTTTCTGAAGAGTGGGAAATATATACAATACTTGCAGCACATACGATTAAAATAACAAAATAGCGTAACTACACTTACAGCCTGCTGCTCCATCCGTTGAAATATCACACTAATCATTTGACTCAAGGTGGCTTTTGCTGTRGTCTGATTGATGAGGTTACGACTTGCCAAGTAGATGTTATAACATGTGCGCACAGCCTGTAGTAAGGTACCTTCATGTACTTCACATGTATTGGAAGTCACTGCCGTTAACAGGGCCTATAATAATGAGTGATGTATAATAGTTATAACATGGATAAATTGGAATCTCAATTAAAGGATGACCGCCTTGATAGACTAGCACAATGATAAATGCATGAACAATGAAAGTATTTTACATAGTCTCACCACATTAGAGTGGATATCATATTATCTGTGTAAAACTTTTTAAGAAATTGCACAAATTTGCACAAATTAGTAAGGTCTAATAAGTTTAGTAAACCGTACACCTTCACATTTTTGCACTAATTTGTACAATTTTGCTAAGTGAATTTTATCGCAGATATATGGTAAGCATTCATGCAGTACTCTACTTACTTTAATAATTTGCAACTGAACGCTGTCATCTGTTTGGACACCCACAAAACAGCTGCAGATTGTCTCTATGATACGGTCAATTAATCGCTTGCTAGGTTCTGTGCTATCTGGTATGTCGCCAGCCAAGTGACCATAGGCTATCAATTTCTAAATCACACACAATTGAAATCTTTTAGAAATGAGAAAAGATAGTAAAACTTATAAATAATATATACCACATTGCTTGATGCAACAATTTCAGCAGATTTTAATAGAAGCATGGATTTTAGCTGCATTTATAATGATAATAATCAATATTAATAATTATTATTTATTTATACAAAAGCAATGATATTTTACTGCATRGCTGCAGATGTGGGTGGGAATGTGAACTTTTTAAATTTAGAATTAGTATCAATTTACCTACGATTTTAAAAATCCAAACTAGTATGCACTACAACAAGTTTATGTTACAAGTTTTTTAGATACTAAATTATCCAATATATATAGATATAACATAAAACCGGACTGCCATTTAAAGATTTTTTTAAATTTTTTCAAAAAGTTTGGTTTGACTCATGTTAGAGAATGAGTGATACTTTACACCAGTAGAAATATAAGTATAGTCAAACTATAATCACAACTACWCTACGTATGTTTTCGTATGACTGTGAAAAGCTCAGTGCTCCAACACCATTGTGATAYGGTAAGGCATACACCAGACCAATCACATTTCTAGAGAATTTACTCTCYATCCAATAAAATACCCAAAATACAGCATAAATACAGTGCGGACATGGTCACACCAAGCCACCACACTGCCAGACCAATCACATTGYRTTTGAAAAAAATCAGCCAATTAAAATTCTAGAAGATATCACAGTCACAGCACAGCCCGCTTACTRCRCTGAGCTTTTCACAGTCATGCAAAAACTGCTCAATAACCACAATCACCACAAAAACCACTACTTTTCATACCTGTAAACAGTCAAGTGCTGTAGTAACAATACGTGGAGACTTTGATTGACAAGCAAGTTCAAACGGCAGGAAATATTTGTCAGCATAGATGAAGGGTAATGTTCCTTTAGGTGGAGGAAGTACTGATGAAGGGCTTCCATCGCTTTGAAAGTAAAAAAAAGTAAATAACTAAAGAGCAAAATCCATTATTTTAGCAAATTACTTATTGATGTTTAAAATATATACTTTGAAATTACCATCCACTTACTTTTCATCAGTTGCTGCTATTCCATGTGTTTCATGGAGCTCTTCTGCAAAGGAAAGATTAAGATAAGTCCGTTATTATTTTTCATGGCCCCCCAGTAATAGGAACAACTTGTTGGGCATAGGTTTATTATCTAGGCATAACAAGTGGTTTCTATATGCACAGAAATGTATAGGACTGATTTAGGTTGTGTTCGTGTTCCTTAACGATAATTTGTGTACAAATAAAAAACACATTTGAGTAACAATTAAGTTAAAACTGGAGTATTCACTTGATTAAAGCCTAAAAAATAATACACAAATGAAAAAAAAAAGAAAGATGAGACAGTGATAATTATAGAATGACATTTAAAAAATAAACTCAAAATGGAAACCAAAGTTTATATTCCCAATTATATAGAGTTGTTAATTTACATGTTACTGTATACGTAATGAGGAAGTGTTACATCTGCTAAACATATTTTTGCTAATTCTCAAATGTAATGTTAAGTATAATTCTTAGTTTAACGACTTAAAAGATCTCTCCTTCTTTATCTAGATTGCCTAACTATGTTTTTCAATTTGGGAATCTCTGATTAGAAAAGCWTATCAAGATATAATTGCTATATGAAAGATTCGATCTCTTCACTTCAAGCTCCAAATTAACTTCGACTTACGACCTTAACTTAGCACTTAAGTCTCTATTTTAGAGAAAGCCTTGCATAAAGGAGAAAAATTCTCCTTTAAAAATTATCTATGATAACTAGAAAGTACACCTGCAACACCYCGAAGGTTTTTTCTGAGTGCAACTGAAATTATTCTTGAAACTACTGTATATTTATAACTTTTAATTCGATCAATCAAACATGACATTCCTGTTCGATTATTCGATGCTTTGGATTCCCTGTATTCTACCACACCAATAAATCTACAACAGATTTAGGCATCTCAAAGATCAGCTAGCCAAGCAGCTAATATTGGGCGGATTACTTACTTAGAGCAACTTCACAAGCTTTCCTGAGCTGCGAGTGGTAAGACTTCTTGGCCTCCTTGTCATGAAGAATCTTCTCCAGGGCTCGGGTRAGAAACATGTTTTTGGTGCTTTCATACATGCTGAAATATCAGTTAGTACTGCACGGGGCCGGTAAGTTGAGATGATTGTGCTGAGTCGGTTATAAAGCTATTATTTTGATGGGTTTATTARCACAAAAGTCGTGTACAACTTCCAAGCCGCCATCTTGGTCCTGACTCAGTAATCACGTGATCAAGCCAACGATGACGCGCTTGGYATTTTACCACAGGGAACCCACATTTTATATCTCAAATACTTCTCATTTTCATACGTGTACCATTTGAAGCATTGGTTTCCTTCGTGTGTTTTTTTTTTTTTTTTTTACATATTTCAGTTTAACAAACATCAGCAAACATATATCTTTACAAGAAGATATAACTAGCTAAAAACTAGTGTGAGCTGCGTCGGCGTTTCTAATGAAACAGTAATGATGAAAAGGTAAATTATACACCGTGAAAAGATGAAAAAACKTACTGACGTTTCGGACGCTAGTCCTTCGTCCTCCGATGAAGGACTAGCGTCCGAAACGTCAGTAAGTTTTTTCATCTTTTCACGGTGTATAATTTACCTTTTCATCATATATATTTACATAAGATTACAGTCTTATTCTCACAATATTTTTTGAGTGACGTGGAAATAAATGATAAATTTCAGTATCAATATCCGGTTCCCAGTCTGACTTTTAATATTTTTTTCTTCTTTCCCACAAACTTGTGTTTGTGGGGATGTGGGACGATTCTCTGAGCGCCCATTTGGGRAGGGTATCAAATTCTTTTAGCTCATTTTTGAGGAGGGTGATACATTTTTAAACTTCAGGTCCATTGAAGTTCACTGTAGAGTTGAGTAATTGGAATTGTGCGTCATTTACTTTACCGTTAGTATTTGCGAATATTATGACGCTGAAATGAGGCTAACTTTGAGTAAATAATTCTGTTTTGTAGGAATTCGAAAATGGTAGTCGGGTGAGGGAGAGTCATGAGAGTCATGTCACGAGTAGTATTCTAAACACTTACTAAGGGATTTTCTCCATCCAATGCCCTAATAGTACCGGCTACTGATATTATTCAAACGCTAGAACCTTCTAATACAATTTGAGTAGTGAAATATTGTTTTATTCAAAAACATCGCATTGTTTCCTTCCTGCCTTATATACAACATGGTTGTGAAACAGGTGTACTGAATGAGAGCAGCGGCCCCCAAAAGTGGTGAAGGATGGAATTGAGTAAGAGTCTCAAGAAGAGAAGAAAGTTAGTTCTTGTTAGAAGAAATTAACTTTTCAAGCTTGTCATAAATACTTTGAAGTTGACCAAGATACGGTCTAGTTCTCTGTACTATTTYATTAGACAAATCGCTGTGTATCTGTTGGCCCGTCCTCTTTTGTCCAGAGCGTGGGAAATGGTTTCGAGACGACTGTGGACCATTTCTGTGTGAAGCAGAATGCTTGGTAGATGATGGGTTATTTTCTACATTACAGTTCTTATTAAGACTAGAACTTTTAGGACAACGGACTTTGATGTTGGATTTTTTGTAGGTGTTTATTGTGTTCCCCTTCAAGTCGTCCTGTTTGACGTCAGTAATCTTGTGTACTACGCCATTACCATGATCCTTCTYTTCTTTATTTTCCTTATAGACCCTCGGTCTTTTCATGGGGTGTATCTTTCTTCCCATAGAGTTAGGATCTAATGGATTAATATAGTTGATCTTCTCTTTGACTGGGAATTGAAATGAGGAGTGTTTCATGAGTGCAACCACTGGGTTTCTGGTGATGCCGCATGTATTGCCCTTCCACGCTATCTTAATGTAGCCGTCCATCCCCCAGGAACTTGACCAGGAATTCTTTACCAACCAGTAGGGAATACCATTCTCTTGTCCGTAGCCAACGACAAGAGCTGAATGTTGAGACACTCGGCTATCTGGGAGATGACAGAAAATAAGCCTCTTATTTGATGTCGACTTTATGTATTTATGGAAATAAATGGCTTGATGTAGTATAAATTGCTGTTAACATTAGTATTATCATCACTCCATCACAGCCACTAACACCACCATTATCATCAATTTTATCACCATCATTACCACCAATGATATCACCATCATTATCACCAATGATATCACCATCATTATCACCAATGATATCACCATCATTATCGCTTCATCTTAAAGATTATAAATTCCTTTTATCTTCATCTTAATGCTATATTTTTTAATTGCTCATAGGCTATTATTAACGTCATCATCACCATGCACTACCATCGCCACTAACAATATCTCATCAAAATCATTATCAACATCATCATCACCATCATTGAGAACATTATCAACATTATCAACATTCATCAATATTCTTATTAATACCATTATCTGATTTCCACCAATATAATATCACCATCTTCATCATCATTATTGAAGAAATAGAAAACGCGCGCGCGTGCTGTGTGCTGTCATGAAGCACGCAGGGATTGGCAGAACACGAGAGAAGTGTTAGGAGAAGCACGACGCGYACAAATTACAGTAATAGATAGGAATGACGCAACGGAAAGTGCGCGCGCGTGCATTGTGCTCTCATAAAGCACGCGCTCAAAACCAATCAGATCGCGACATTCATAACAGTTATTTTATAACTTCACCATAATGATACGTGGTCAACACCACCATCATTGATAGACCAGTTTTCGTATGGCCGTGAAAACGTTAGTACTGAATGCGTGCCTTGCTGCAACCGTTAAATTTTGATTGGTCTGGGGCATTGCTGTGACATTGGCATGACGTGTCCGCGTCGTGTTCATGCCGTGTTTCGGGCATTTGATTGGATGGAGAGTAAATTCTCCCTTGCCGTGTTACGTCCGTGTTCGTGCCGTGAGCTATTCACAGTAAGAAAAATGCTTTTAACGCTGACCTGTCATATGTACAGACCCTTAAACTTACCACAGGCCGGATCATCATAGATTCCCCAGCTATAGAACTTGAGTGACATTGGACTTTCGTTCATTGACACCGCAGCAGGACCGTACTTGGCCACGGAGATCTTCAGTGCAGTGTTGTTATGTTTAGGAACGAAAGCAAATGCATCTAATGTGGCTCCTAGCTTAGTGTCATCGAAATGACAAGTGCCTTCCTGTAGAAAATAAAGATACCGAATGAATGAAACCAAAGGTTCATTCTATCCCTTGAAAGTCTTCTTTCAGTTCATGGTCGGTCAGGTCAGTGTAATACTTAGTTTGCCGTCGCACGGTTGGCTCATTTTTGTTTCCATTGGCTTTTTGTTTGAGTTGATTGTTGAGCTGGGCTCCATCCCCTGTCAAACTCATGCTTATTTATGGTCTTAAAATAACGAAAAATATCTGCAAATCAGGCCTTTGATTAGCGCCTCTTTTAGATATGTTTAATCGAGAACCACAAGTTGCAATAGTTACGTGGCATTATGTCTAAAAAGGTTAATTTTCATTCTATATGTCCATTATTTTGTTACACTGTCTTTAGTCGTACTTGAGTAAATGTGCTGGTTGTTGTCTTTGCGTCTAATAATAAATGGGAAAAGTAGTTCTACAGAGAAGAGCTTCGTTTGCTGGATTCCAATTGGCGGAATTTAGAACTAGTTTTGCTTGTCACATAATTGACCTATAATCCACTGTTTTCCCATTTCAGACCACCTGTTATTCCCTGGAGTATCATTTCTTTCTCTGACGGCCGCACATCAGAAGACACACGAATATGGATACAACTGAAACAAATAATTTTGCCTTCGAGAGAAAGTCACGCGATCTGAAATGGGAAAATTTTATGCCCGGATGGATTAGGTCCATTAGTGGTTAATGTATGCAGGAAAAGTCTGTTGAGTGTCGGACAAACCTGTGCAAGGTAAGGACCATAGCTATCAGCTGTAGCGATTCCATGCAAATAAATCCAACTCAAAGCCTTGTTGTAGTAACCACCTCTGCAGCCATGGTTACCTGACCCCCAAGAACAGTCGATCACTTGTTGGGCTGACAATTCCACAAGTCTTCCAGTCTGAGTGGATTAATAAAAATACTATCGTTAGTAAGAAATCGGAAGCTATGTTGCAATAGACAGTTTTCTCAAGGTTGCGTGCGCAATCAAATTTAAGGAACTTGACGGGCCACGATACCAGAACACGAGATTTATGATATATATTATCATGCATTGTTATGATCTTTTTTTGTTAAGAAATCATAAAATTAAGAAATATAAAAATATAAAAATAAATATCAAAATGGCTTCTCAATTCGAATTTGCGTTTTTCAATTTTGTGGCTCGTCAAGTTGGATGCGCACGCAACCTTGAGAAAACGGTCTATTGAGGTCGTCTCATGACGGGTAACTATAGGCAGAGGAAAAGAATGCAAGCTATAGTCTATTGAATTCCAACGTAAATCTATTGGCGGGTTACCTTCATGAAGTATGCCCCTTCTAGTGCACCAACCGCAGCCAAGGCGTAACATGATCCACATATTCCCTGGCCTCGTACAGGCGCCACTGCACCTGAAGCATCGGGAGAATGAACACTGATTAGTGGCACGCAATCATTGACGWGGGGGAAGATTGGCCATTTTTGTCAAATACTGACAACTATGATGTAAAACGTATATTAGTCTTACCATAATCTCTCCAGTCCAGCTTGTCAGGGACATCAATTCGCTTCAATATTTGAGTCATGTTGCTGTAGGTCTCGTGATGGGGCTGYAAGTGGACTGATCCCTTGTGATGTGTGCTGGTTTCTTGTTTCAAGTCTTTAAATCAAAATGACATAAAAACAWTATAGCCTGCGTAGCGGCGTTTTGAGGAGGGGTGGGGTGGGGGGAGTTGCCCTCCTCTTCTTCCTCTCCTCCCCCTCTCCAAAGCGCTGCTACGCATCGCTATGAAATTTTGATTTAATTTCTGTATAAGGCATCAAATTTATGATGATGATGTTTGATAATGATAACAAACTTTCTTAATAAATGAATTTGCCATCGGCCTCAAAAATATCTTGAATATACGAGGCTAACATGAAAAAAACCCCGACTTTTTCTGRATGGAATTTGTGGCATTTCTTTTGTTTAATTTCCGATGTTTGCCTCGCATTTAGGATAATTTTGATAATAGTCCATGAATTTCTTCGTGAATGAACACACATTACTAGATATAACGTTACCTTCATGATGGTCGTACTCGTCGTCCATCAAATCCACCATGTGATTTGGAGCCAATTTGTAAGTAAGATTCTTTCTGTTTATCGATCGAATGTACCTGATCATGAATACGAATGATAAGACAAGAGCATAAAAACAAACAAACATCAGGGACGGTGGAGACAAGGGAGTGTGTAACCTCTTAATCTATGGTTGTATGTACTTATTTCATAATTAGCATAAGGAGCCTCGATTTCGTGTATTGGATACCAGTCTCACACACACACCCTATCGATACGAATGAGGAATTTTGTATTTGCAGAGGCCTACCTCATGTTGTGTCTGAAGATATGCTTTCTCTTCACATGCTCTTTATCAGAATCGTAGGATTTATTGTGTCGTGTCTTGTAATCGATGTACATCTTGTCTATGGAATTCTCGGAGATGGCTCCGTACGACAGAAACTCTTGCATCGGGTTGCCCAGCAGATGGGAATCCAAGGAGTGAGCCAGCTTCTTGCACCATGAATCTGTGTTACAAAGATATCAAAATAATTTCTTTTTTCAATTTCCACGACAAATATATATTTTTATATATATCTTTCATTCTAATATAGTGAGTTGGTGTGCATCGTCAGTYTGCGGCTTTGAGTTATTTTTTGTTGGAAAACAATTATCACAAAAAAGAGACAAAAACATTTAAAGCATACGTTAGAATTTTATCTTCCGCATTTTGACAGACAACTCATTGATTGCCTTTGACATTCACAKTGCAGCCATAATTCACATGCGTTGCGCGCGAGCTAAATAAACAAAGGATAGTGCAAGAATGCCGACTTTACAAAAGGCGGCGCCAAAACGTCTCACCTTTCGGTAATTCAAACTTTTTCAAGTCAGGCTTCCACTCCTCAAATGATATATATTCCAACACATAGTAGTCGTAATAAGATGCCAATAGATTATCATATCCTTTCATCTCGTATYGCACGGGTCTCGGAGGGTCTGTTCTCGTCACCCAAAGGGTATGGGTGTTGAGTAAGCCATATGATAAGTAACGGTATTCCCATTTTGCTGTGGCTGTACCTCGGTAAACTTCGTATCTGGAAAACTGGAAAAAAAACCCAAAAATTCATAAATTAATTGCTGATCAATGTAACCCCCCCCCCCCCCCCCCCATTCGKGGAGGCCACGCCCTTCATTATTTTATTTCAGAATAATCGCAAACTAACTATTGGAAATAACTATCGGGCAATCTTTTTTTGAGTATCATTTCTTTGTTTAACGGTTGTGCATGAGAAAACACTAATAKGAATATAACTACAACAAATATTATGCCAAAGCTAAAAAGAAAAGGGGTCTGTTGAAACCCAGCAGATATCTTTTTGTCAAAGTTTGAGCTCTGTAAGCGGCACGGCTAAGGGGTCATTGATTTGCCCAATCCTCTGGCGTTCAACTGTCTGCCATCTTCAATACAAGTGCAGGCTTTCCCTTACCTTAAGCGTGGTCATATTAGGAACGATTGGTTGCACCACAATCGGTACTCGTTTAGATCCAGCTAAATTCCAGCAGCCGATGTAGTTGCCCTTCTTGTCATCGTACATGGGAACCACTTTAAATGCCTCTCCGTGTTTACCAAGATCAGCTAGTTGAAAGGTTTTATCGGTACCTATGATAAAACAGTGTAGTTTTCCTATTCCGATTACAGTGTTTACAAAGACGTTGGTACGCATGGGATTGTGGGACTAAGCTTCTGGACGAGATCAAGAAGCTGCGTAACCACCCAGTATCAAATGTCCATTTTCTAGTTATCAACCACCTACAGAATCAATCATTTTGACTTCAATTTYTTTTGTAACGAAGATACGGTCCGATATAAACATGAAGGGAGCTAGTAAAAAAATATTTGCGCGAGACGGTTTGAGCATATATTTCCGATTCATTTGGTCCAATTTTCCGCCTGGCTAATTTACAAGTACACGGCACTAGAAAATGCGTCATAAACAGAGTAGTTCGTTACCATAATAGTAGTCTATCCTGCTGCGGTTGTGCTTCCTAGACAACCAAACCTCAAACGGTTCTTCAATTTGACTGTGAGGCAAATGTAGTTTCCCTGTCGCGTGGTAATTTTGCGGGAAACGGAATGGTTCGGGTGGAGTCTCGTTTAGATTTCTACTGAAGATCCTTAAAACAAGAGAAGAGTCGTGTATTTTGTAGATGCCCAAAATTAAACCCATGGATAACACAACGGTCAAACAAACCGCAAGTCGTAGAAACCCCATCCCAGCTCCTGTGGAAAGAAGCGGAATGACACACCGTTACTGTGTTTAGTACGAAATCCTTGGTTTTCCGTAACTGGTGAGATTGAAGGGAATAACATCACATATCGGTTTTGTCGGTGATTATTTCATCAGTCATCAACACTTCGCGCACCTGACGACTTGCAGTTAAATTTTTAAGAGACATTTTATTTGTTTCACAAATTAATCTAAGAACTATATTTAATACAGGAGAAAATAAATCGCTTTTATTCCAAGAYTTTGGATCGGTTTTGTAAAAAGTTCTAGATTGCTGTCCATAGGGATTGTAATCTTGTATTAGAATCTTGGTCTTGTCAAATTGCGACAGGTACTATGGGCAGGTGGCAAGGGCGGGGTTTACCACTTATATATATAGATCTTCACTGAAGGCGCTATCACTATTTAGCATTTCGTGTTTTGCATCGAAACAATGGAATTTAGGACTTAGTTGATATTTTAAACAAGTCCAAACGCACGGGCTCGTTTTTGCATTAGAATTTAAGACCTCGCCCTAGAATTTAAACCTTTATACGAAACTTATATCGTAAAGCAGCTACACATAGATGAACTGGAGATTCTACATTTGTGCTCGAAGTTCTAAGATAATCTGGGGCGGTATGGTGGAGTGAGTACGGATAATGGACGCCCTCTCACGCAGTCTTGTTTAGGTGTCTGCAAACATTGAAACAAATCGGGCCTACACAAGTGCAAGTTGACAGTACTCAATTCATAGAAAAAATCACTAGAGCGCAAACAGTATAACCGTGAATCTTGAGTAATACTAAATAGCACAATTTCATGCAATTTCTATTGTTTTCTATTGTTTAATTAGCACTATTTTGTACTATTTTGTAATTAGTGTTTTACGGATTGTTTGCACTCTACCAGCCCAAATGTAGTTAGAGAAGGTTCACAACTGGTCTACCATACAGTTTTTAAAACAGAGTAGAAATTATGAACCTGGTCATATAATCAGCTAGCATTGGAAGGGAATTGTTTGCAAGGCGATCATTGGTCTTCTCTATCTGCACCCTTTTACTGTCATATCAGTTGATTAACATTTTTGTTGTATAAATGCGCTTATAAGACATCGACAAACTCATTTTATTTTCTACTCATTTCCATCAACATGCTCCTTACTTGTTAAATCATGCCAATAAGCAGTGGTAGAATACCTTAACTGCAATCTTAATTTCAATAGTGTATATTAATTAACTGCTAAAAAAAATCATTAAATGAGAAAATAGTATTTGAAAGGCAGATCAAAGAATCAAATCAATGCTTTAGACGTGACTGATTTCATGCCTCAATCAGACACCTTTTGCACCAGGGAAAAAAATCATCCCTCCGTGATAAGTTCTAAATAATAGTCAATAAAAAAATTCCTAACAATCAATGAACACTCAAATAACTGGAAAGCTTTGGTTATGTTTAAAACTTGTGCAGCATGTAGTACACAGTTACATAGCAGAGATCACACTGAAAGGCTCTGGGTTGACTGAGAGAGCTTTGAATTCCTCCAATGCCTTGTGACAAGAGGATTTCCCATTGTTAGTGAATGGTTCCATCACTTGCTTCAGCAAAGACCTAAGAAACAAATTAAGAATTTATTATGAAAGAATATCAAAACCTTTAGGATCTTTCTAGGTTTGAAATGCAATTTCATTAGCTTTGCCGTTGTATTTTGAAATAATTCATGTACAAATATCTCGCAAAAGTTACTTTGTTTCCCCCTATTATTGCCATGAAGATGGATGTTATGCCTGAAAAATCGGCAAAAAACATGTAAAACGTAGTTGCGCATGCCTTATAATCAGAGTAACAGTATCTTCAACAAAAATAGATTTTAACAATCATAATAAGAGGATGAG